AGAAAGAAAGAAAGAAAGAAAGAAAGAAAGAAAGAAAGAAAGAAAGAAAGAATATATATATAAAGAAATATATATATAAAGAAAGAAAGAAAGAAAGAAAGAAAGAAAGAAAGAAAGAAAGAAAGAAAGAAAGAAAGAAAGAAATATATATATATATATATATATGCATATGCATATGCATATGCATATGCATGGGTGCACTGCCCATGGATGAAAGAAATTTTTGCTGGATGGGAGAAATGCGATTAGAACTGCAGTGTCAAATGCAGGATAACTGCTCTGGGGATATCAGTGATATAGTCTCTATATTACCATAGGAACTAACAGTAGTTACTTAATAGCAGCAATGCAGAGTGAAATTTAGTGCAGATGGCAAAAGTGTAACAACCCTTCTTGTGCAAGAGGCACTGAAAAATGAAAACTGATTTAAATTCTCCTTCTGTCCTAGTTCTTGCATAGGAGAATATTTGAAATGGTTATGTCTAAGTTTTTAGTAGTGCTAGGAGAATGAACCTATCATGAGCCTGTTATAAATGTGTGTGCATAATGATTACAAGAACATTGCCGCGACCGTTATCTTGGAAAAGATAGTCTCTTTTGTTTGTATAAAAGAGCCAAGGTCCAAAACAATTCTTCTAAATCAATGATGCCACACAGATCTTAAAACTGAATTTGCAATTTTTTAACATTAATGTTCTGCTGAACAGTTAAATCACATCCATTCTTAACTGCCAGGACAGTTCAATCAGTTGAACTAGAGTTAAGCATATTTAGAAGGAGATTCATTGAATCAATGGGAGTTTAGGTGGAAATGATTTATTATTAGTTCTGATGGGTTTAAGTCTGGCTAAGTCTGGATCCAACCCAGTGGGATTAACTAAATAAGTTGAAATCTCAGTAACCAAATAAAAAAGATAATCAACAACTTGGTGAACATAATAATGTGATTAATAGCGATGGAGAAAACAGTGTTAACTTTGTTGTAAAACTTCTACAAGTATAAACAATATTGGTTTAAGACATCAGAACCAATTATTTGGGCTAGCCATAACATACTGTGCTAAAATGTGTTTGGCTAGTTTGTAATTCAGTATGTTGCTTAAGCACACTCAGGGGGTCCCATCATCAACTCAGTTCACATTACTTAACTTCAGAGTTCTTTCCAGTCTACCTGAAATGTGTCAGGATTATACTGTCCATTCTTCAGTTATGTTGATCTGGATCCAAAAGCCAGTTGGGATGAAGGGGTTTTTTTTTGTCCTATATAAACATTTCTATGAATCATGTAAATATTTTACTATCACAAATAAGGGTGTCTGAAGGGTATGGTTAAAAACAAAACAAAACACCTCAAGATGGTGGCCACAATGGTGTGATCAAAGCTCAGCCGACTTTTATGACCTTTGACTGCACCATCACAGCCACCATGCTGACTTTTTTTTTGCAGACACCACTGATCACACCCATGACAATTTTTCAGTGAAGTGGGTTCTTGGACAGTGAACCTCTTGGAGTGCCAGTTCTACCACTTGGAGCAAATGCTATCAATCTCAGTGACATTAATTCTGAAGTAACCAGCTTTAGAATCTAGTTGTAAAACTAGTTTATAAACCTAACTGCCTCCTTTTAATTTAATTCACCCATTCATAGCTACGGATGAACGAATCTGAGAACCTTACATCTATTATGCCTAGGCAGGCAAGATGGATATATAAATATTGGGGGGATTGTGAAATAGATGTAATTTAAAAGATTTCTCCATTACAGTAATAGGAAAAAAAAAAATCCAAGTAAATTACTTCACAATGATGGAACTATGAGAACATCTTCAAAATGAGCACAAAGGAAGAAGACATGCTTCCTGAGTGCAGGCTGATTTTATTTTATTTATTTATTTAAAAGATTTGTATGGCTGCTGACAGCATATATAACAAAATACCCGAAATTAAAAACCGTCTCATACCCTTAAGCACCATAACAATATCATCATAAAATCACAAATGCTGGGCTCTCCTACCCTCCTGACCCACTACCTCAGGGATGAGCCAGGTCTAAACAACTCTCCAGAAGGCAAGGTGGATGGGGACCCTCTGGATCTCAGGGGGGAGGCTGTTCCACAAAGTAGGCACAGCTATGGAAAGATGCCAGCACTGATGACATAGGGGGGATGTGGTATGAACCCACCCTATCCAATCTAGTGGGACAGGTAGATCTCCACAGAAGGAGACAGTCCTGCAGATAACCTGGCCCTGTGCCATACATGCCAACCCCTTGAATTTACCCAGACTTTCATTTGTACCCCTTTGTTAATGCGTCCTGCGCAATCAGAATGTCTACCCAAGATAGAAAACATGTTCAGGCCATATTTATGGAGGGATTTCAGGGTCCCTAAGTCCAAATTTGGAGGAGTATACAGCATATTACTTTGCACACAAACTTTATTATTTAATAGGGCTGTGCAGTGCTTTGGATTCGGTTCCATCAAGATGCTTTGCAGGATGTGAGAAGTGCAAAAGTAGCACCGGTTTGCACCTGTTTAAAGCAGTTATAAGTGTTTTTTAAACTTGGCAATTGGCTGGGGAATTCTGGGAGTCGAAGTCCACAGATCTTAAGGTTGCCAGGTTTGAAAAACACTGAGTTAGTAGCTTTTCCTGGGATGAGCTGTGTGATTCCAGGAAAAGTTAGGGCATTTTAAAGAGTTGCAGACATGTTGCTACCTTTGTAGTCCTGCAATGTATGATTTGGGACCTGGTGCATTCCTGGAGGATAGGAAGACCACTTTTTAAATGCATGTACCTTAATTCATGGCGCTGTGATAATTTCTAAATCAGGCTTTCTCTTTGAAGGGTGGGTGGGGGGTTAGTTTTATACACTAGCCCTCTTTTGAACCAAGTGTATGGATATGTAATCTCCTTTGAGAACGGACTTGACTTTTTGGTAACTTCATGGAAATGGCCGTGCTTTCTGGAGATGAACAATAGAGATGGCAATTTGCTGTTGTTTCTTACAGATTTTTTTTTTCTCCCTTTACTATCTAGCCTACAGCTCTGCAATTTTCCAGTGGTCTCCTATCCTTCTCTTCTGCCCCCCCCCCTTCTAGAGTCATTCTTGACTCCTGACAACTTTCTGGGCTAGTCCCTGCAGTTTTCTTGGCAAGATTTTCAGAAGTGGCTTGCCATTGCCTGTTTCCTAGGGCTGAGAGAGAATGACTGGCCCAAGGTCACCCAGCTGGCTTTGTGCCTAAGGTGGAACTAGAGCTCACAGTCTCTCAGTTTCTAGCCTGGTACCTTTAACCATTACACCAAACTGGCTCCCATATCCCGTATCATATAAACTAGAAATAATTGTGTATGAACCACAATGACTGGGTTCCTACATCAAGGTAAGCTAAAATCAACCACATTATGGTCTAGAACAGGGTTTTTCAAACTTGGCAACTTTAAGATGTGTGGACTTCAACTCCCAGAATTCCCCCCATGCTGGCTGGAGAATTCTGGGAGTTAAAGTCCACACATCTTAAAGTTGCCAGGTTTGCAAAACCCTGGTCTTAGAAGGGTGTGAAAATGCCCACCTGCTGCTCTTTGCACAGAGTGTGATTTCCCCTAAAGTGCAGGGGTTGTGCATCTCCTCAGAAACCCATCTGCCCTTCTTGTGCAGTCGTGGCTGCACATTGCGCATCCGAGAGGAGGAAGTGGCCAATCCGGATTCGCTCCTCCGAATGGGCCAGCCGGGAGCGAGCGGAGCGCGAGCTCTTGAGCGGGAACGGGGCTCGGATAGGACCGCCGCCCGTTCCGCTCTCCTTCACCCGCCTTCCTCTCCTCCTTCCAGGTCTGGTTTCAGAACCGGAGGACCAAGTGGCGGAAGAAGCACGCGGCCGAGATGGCGACCGCCAAGAAGAAGCAGGACTCGGAGACGGAGCGGCTGAAAGGCGCCTCGGAGAACGAGGACGACGACGACGACTACAACCGGCCCCTGGACCCCAACTCGGACGACGAGAAGATCACGCAGCTGCTCAAGAAGCACAAGACGGGCGGGCCCAGCGCCGGCCTGCTGCTCCACGCCTCCGAGAACGAGGGCTCTTCCTAGGCGGCGCGGGGAGAGCCGGCGGCGAAGGAACCCCGCGCCACGAGCAGAGCCCCGCGGAGGCTGCGCCCCCGACCCAGATGCCGCTTCTAGCCGGAGGAAGAGGACGGCGGGCGCCAGGCGGCCCCCGAGACGCTCCTGCCCGGGTGGGTTTCTCTGGGAAGTTGGCGGCGGGGGCCGGGCGGCCTGGATGGACAGCCCGCGGGCCCAGCGCCGCCCTGCCTCTCCCGCCAAAGGGACCCGCTGGCTCTCCAGAAGCGGAGCCAGACTGTGGCAGAGGCGCCTCTTTATTGTATATAGAAGCGAGCGGACTTTCCGACTGTGAATATTTAAGCCCTGTATCCTACGCCGGCTAGTGCGCAGCTGGAGCGTCGGCGCTCGGGAGACGCGCGCTGTTGAGTCGGTTTGCTTTTCTCCGCCGCCGCGGGGAGGCCGCTCCTAACCCTCTTCTCCTTTGGGTTTTAGTCGTGGAGTTATGTGACTTAAGAAGGCAGAGGTTTCTTTCTTGTAGTAGCTCATGAGTTTTCGCTAGCTTAACTCCAGCTTTCCACCCCATCGACTACATTGGCGCAAATGATCTGCACTGGAGTGTGTGGGTTTAAGGGAAATCATGGGTTTCAATGTAATCGATTTCGTTCAGCAACTCTTTTTTCACTGGGAGAATAAATAAGCTTTAGAGCAATGCAGAAACTTTCCTGGGGCGGAAGAAGCGTTCTGTGTAATATGGACAGAAAAGCCCTTGGTTCCCTTTCAAATTGGAATAGTGGAGTTTTGGTCCTTCGTCTCGGTGACTAGGGCAGTAAGCTCCTTCGAATCAGCTACTTAAAAATGAACATGTAACCTATATATTGTAGTCTACAGCTCCTTTTAAGTTCCTCTCAAATCGAGTCCTGCCAAATGACATCCCCCCCCTCACACCCGTTTTTGGGGGAAATGCGTAATTTTAACTTTCTTGTATTTTAGCTCTTGGTTTTGAAAGCAGAAGTAAAGCTAGAAAAGAGGAAACCAAGCATTTAAGAAAAAAATCTCCCTTTTGCAAATAATAATAATAATTACAAGTAAAATTTATGACAATGGTTGGTTTTGAAATCCCGATTTCGCGGCTGTCAATAGAATTTGAAAATGTGGAATGTTGGTTTTTTAACGAACATGTACATTGCTTTCTTTCTTTTTTTTAAAGCTAATAATAAGGTCGATTTAGCATTTTAGCCGTTTATTAATTTATAAGAAGACATTTCAGTTTGTAAAGTGAACAAAAACAGCCCTAGCAAGACCAGTTTAACGCAATGCACTTTGTTTTGTTTTAAAAAGATAAATCGATTTAAATCAGTTATAACGCGTCTGTTGCCTGGAAGAAAAATAAGGGGTGCAGAAAATGTGGTCTCATCTGAGATTAAATAAAATTGGTCATAAATAAATCAATAAATCATTAAAATTGATCAATTATTTTTGTTACTTTATATACCAAATAGAATCCGTTCCTTTGTTTTTTCTAAGGCTAAGGCCCTTTAACAGAAAGGTTTAGAATATATAACATATTTTAAAATCTTCTGCTCCTCCTTTTGGGTTTTATAAAGAACTAGCCCCCTTTCCCATTCTCTTAAACGGAGAATGGAAAAGCGTTTTGGTTCCTCTAGTTGTTCGCAGTTTGCTCGGTGATTTCGGACGAATTTATCGCTGAAGGGGAACACGGTTCTGGGAACGCGAAAAAGGCGAGGCAGCGAAAGGTGAGAAAACCTGGGAAAAATAAGAAGAAAATGATGAAGAAAAAAGAAAATAAAAAGGTTGCGAAGAAAAAATACGGGGGAAAAAGAGCGAAAGAAAGGAAAAGAAGGAGAAGAGTCAGAAACGGAGGAGAAGGATTAGGCTGCGTTCTTACGAGACGCGGAACCTAAAGACGCGCTGGCTACCTTGTAGACTGGCGTGTCCTGCGAATAAAGCCACCGAAGCCCAAAGCAGCCAATCGCGGGTTGGTCCAGCGGATTGCCCAGCTCCACTTAGGGCGGTCCGTCCAGGGTTCGGTAAGTCCCACGGACCCAGGCGATTGGCTTGATTGGGTAAACCGAAGGGCGTGTCTTCCGAAGGCAGCCAATGACAAGGATGAGAGGGAAGGGTGGTATTCGGACAAGACGTTGCCCGCATCTGCTTCTGAGGAATAAGAACTCCGTGTGAACCGGGGACTAAAGACTCGGTTTAAAACATACCTTTTAAGAACAGCGAGCCACAGCTTAGATTGTCCTCACCCCCTACCCTTTTAAGGCAGCGCCTAAAAGCCCCATAAATTACAAGTCTTTCCTCTCTGTAACATGCAAACTGATTACATCTTAAGACACCCTTCCCTCCCCCCCCGCCCCGAAAAAGAGCCGATTGAGTAGAAGAAAAAAAAAATCTATTTCTCACAATTGGCCCTTGCAGCGCAAGATGTAATGTTGCCCACGGGTTAGGCGTCTTCCTTTACCAGTTTGCCTGGATAGCTCAAATGGAGATTCCATGTGCAGTGGCAGTCTATCATATGCTGAGAGCCAACAGGTGCATTCATGCTGAAGAACCAAATTATTGGAGTAGATGGAGGCCACAGTAATCCCTCAGCATGTCTATTTCTATTTTGTTTGGTGTCTGTGCTAAAAGGGGCAAGAATAAACTGCCTTATAGAAAGGTGATGCTTGGTTCGCCAATCATCAAAATTGGGGTTGAGTTGGAAGAGCTAAAGCCAATTGAAAAGATTAAAAAAAAAAAAAAATCCTTCATTGGCAGGTACATCATGTTTGCCTTCAATAAATGGTACATAAGCCTTATAGAAAGGTGATGCTTGGTTCGCCAATCATCAAAATTGGGGTTGAGTTGGAAGAGCTAAAGCCAATTGAAAAGATTAAAAAAAAAAAAATCCTTCATGTGCAGGTACATCATGTTTGCCTTCAATAAATGGTACATAATTTTTCAACACTGCTTCATCCCTCACCCCAGCAGAACTTTAACAACAACAAGATGTTAAACTAGACCTCTGTTTCTTCTCTTTTAAAGGAGCATCAGTGGCATTTGGGCATTATGGCTGAATCCGTCAATCAGAGATACCTTTCCCAATAATTCTGTGTGGGATCAGGATGGGGATGACAAGAGGAATATTTCATCAGCCTTCCAAAATACAAAAGCTGCAGTGGGACCCAGAGGCTGTATAAATCCCATTTAATAAACTGCTCTAACGCCCCACAAACCATTCCAGGAGTTGTAATTTTGGGAAGAGATTGAAGATTATATTTTTTAAAAGCACCTTTTGCTTTTCATGAGGCTGTAATTCCCAGAGTTCTTTGAAATAATAAACTTTGGGGAGTTTATTGTCAAAATTCCTACTTTAGAAATGCCCCAAAGGGGTTTTCCGTTGTTGTTGTTGTGTTGTTTTATTATTAGCAAGCAGTTTCTGAATCCCAATATTCCAGATCATGCCAAGTTTATTTTGGGTCTCTGAATCATCCAGTTTTCTGTGTGATTCAACACAGTTTAAATAACAGTCTGTGGGGATTGCAATTCTGCTGGTTTTGTACTCCCGTTTCTCTTGCTATAGCCATACAGTTTGGAGTCATGTTCCTTCTTTAAAAAAACCAATTAGCAAACAACTATTTTATAATCCAAAAGCAAGTGGAGCAGATAATATACTTTTACTTCCATCTTGAAAACTGCGTACCTGTACATATCCACTCTTAGAGGTTTTAAAACGTAATTTTGTAATGTGCCACCTCTCCCAGAGTTCAGTGCTACCTACAGACTTTGAAACTATCCAGCAATATTTAAGCCCATAAAGTTAGCATTCAGAAATTAAAAACCAGATTGTCAGCAAACTGGGACAATAAAAGACTGTAAATAATAATAATCTTCTGCTGAGGCAGGACCCTAAAAACCACCCATGTGCTGTATATTCCTCTGGGGGCGCTCACTAGAGAATTTTGATACCTTATGTACTCCATGCAACGTTAAGGACCTGGGATCATGGCAAGGCACTGGGCACCACACTTCAAGAAGGACTCGGAGAAGTTGCAAAAGGCCCAAAAAACGGCAACAGAGTTGATCAGGGAACTAGAAGCTAAATCCTGTGAAGAGATTTTGCAGGAGCTTGTGCGTTTAGCCTTGCAAAATGTTAACTCAAGGAGGGACTCTTCAGATGTATAAAAGGAGATGGACTTGCTCTCACTCATTCCAGAGTGCAGGGCACAGATTTCAGTTAGAGGAAGGCAGATACCAGTCATGCCTTAAGAGAAACTTCCTAATTCTGTAGTGAAGAGCTGGAATCAGCTGCCCAAAGAGATGTGAGGTCTCCTTCCTTGCATGTGTTCAAGCAGAGGCTAGACAGCCATTGGCCATGGATGCTTTACTTTGGATTCCTGCAATGAACAGGGGGGTGGATTGGATGACCTCAACACTCCCGTTCAGCTCTAGGATCCCATGATCTGGGAAAGGGGGCAAATTATAAATATTTTAACGGGTGGCTTTCCTACTTTGAGCCACACATAAACATAAGCTGTGATTTGTTCTCCTTTTCTATCTTCATAAGGTTTCCCCACTACATTTCTGCCACTCTCAGGAGGCACAGAAATGGAATGAACAGAAGACACCTACAGCACGTGGAAGCAGGAGTGGGGATTTTATGGCTCGCCAGCTGTTGCAGAACTACAAATCCCACACCCCGTCTACTAACCATGCTATGGGGGACTGTTTGTAGTTGTAGTCTGGAGACATCAGGAAGATCTCAAGTCCTTACAGACTTTGAGAGGATGTGTTCACACAACACACTTAAAGAGGTTACTGAATTAATTCATTTTTTGCACAATGCATTGCATGGAACCACAAACGAACCCAGTGGACTGATTTACACAACATGCTTAGCAGAAAAAAAAACTTCACAAAAACAAAAACAAGCTGTAGCAGAAGTCAACAGTAACCAAACGTAATACGTTGGCAAATGCAGCAGGCAGGGGTTTATCAGCTCTGTTGGTATGTATTGGGTGAACACCATCAATATGTAATAAGGGTTGATTTCAGCTACAAAAATCAGGCTGCTTTAAAGGATCCATTGTTGTGGGTGAAAATAAAAAGGGACAGAGTTGCTCATCACTAGGAAGAGCTTCCTTGTTACCCATGAATCACAGGAACAAACTTTTAGCTTTCCAGTGAACTAAGT